TTCCTGTTTGTTTCCGATGCACTTACACAAGGAATCGATGAATCACATCTCCGCACTGAGATCTCCCTATGGAGTTTGCGATGATGCACATACCAAGAAGGGGGGGGGACCAACAGCACAGAGTTGGGATGGCCTGATCAGACCATCCTGACGCCATGAGAGCGTGCTGGAGCGATCAGACATGGGAAACTCCATTTGTGGCCTGTCGTAGCCCGTTTACTACCAGATTTCCCCCAGTGTCTTTTTACTCCCCTTCTGCTGTGGAGCAAAACAGGTTGCTGATGGGTGTGGGGTGCTTCCCAGATGTTTGTGTCTGATCGTGCCCTTTAAATCTGCCCAGCATTCACGCCTATGGCAGGGCTAATTGTACGTGTATTTTTCTTCCAATCTCACAGTGTTGGCTTCTTGACATTCTGCTCCCACCCCGGTCGGAAAGGTATGATGGGGTTCTCTGTGGTTATGGCTTTTACTGCTGTTTTAAAACAGCATTGTGATACTGTGGTTAAGCCAGCATGGTATAGTGGTTAAGAGCAGTGGACTCCAATCTGGAGAACCACTCCTTCATGTGAAGCCTGCTCGGTGACGTTGGGTCAGTCACAGTTCTCTCCAAACTCTCTAAGCCCCACCTTCTTCACACAGTGTCTGTTGTGGGAAGAGGAAGGGAGGGTGATTGTAAACTGCTTTGAGACTCCTTCAGGGTAGAGAAAAGTGGGGTATAAAAACCAGCTCTTCTTGTTCATTTAGAAAATGTGTATGCTGCTTCCCAACAAAACAATGCCAACAAGTAAATAAAACAATGAAAGGCAATTCAAGCAAATGCACCTTGGTCACTAGTAGAGATGTGAAGGCCTGGAAAAAAAACGGAAAAAAACCGGGAGAAAAACGCTTTCCCCCCGCTTTTTTCCTGAAACTTTTTTGTTTTTTTCCGAAAAATTGGAAAAATTGAAAAAAGAAAAAAATTGATTATGGAACATTTTATTTTAACATGATGAATAAAATATTTTAAGATAAGGTGTTCAAATATTTTCCAAATCATTTCATATATATATGAAATATATATATGGTATCAGATTGATCTAATTTCTGTGCACTGAGGACAAGCAAGTCCTAGGTTACAAACTGAACCCTCCAATGCAAGAACAAGATGCATTTCTTCCTTTAGGAGGTGCGATTGTCAGAAGAAAATACAAAAGTTTCAGTTTTGTTTTTGCATGTGGGTGGGTATCCTGTTTGAAATAATTGTTTGGATACACTATTTTTAATATGATAGTTGTGATAATTTCATGCCGAGTAAAAAATGTCCATAGTCATATTTTATGTTCCTAAAGTAACAGAATGACTTTCAATCTATAAAAGACAAAAGAAATGCTAATGTAGCATTTTTTTCAATTTTTCCAAAAATTTCCGTTTCCCCCCAGAAAAAAACCCGTTTTTTTTTCTGAGCTTCAAATTTTCCGGAAATTTTACATCTCTAGTCACTATAAGCCTGCCAGAATACAAAAACAGCATAAAACAAACAGAACAGTCTAAAATGATATTGATATAACAGTTGTCAGCATCAGAGGTGGTGGTAAAACAGTCAAAAATATAGATCCCCTTTGGGAAAACCTTGTTTTTTGTACGGCACGTAAAAGAAAAGTAAAATACGTTCTGGGGAAGCCTCAAGGGGAGGGCATCCCAAAGGTGAGATACGATGCGGCACACTGCTTGTTTGGGGTGACTGTTTCCACTTTAAAATTATTCTTTGTGTAATTAACTGGGTAGTTTCTGCTGCCACCAGGAATTTTAAGAAATTCCAAATCTTCTCTCTGTTTCTGCTGTTGGTAATGTGACCCAGGGTCTGGGCTTTCAAAGGTCTAGGTAGCCCTGAGGAAGGATTGAACTGAATTCTGGGTTAAACTTAAACGAAATATGATTTATTAAGGAACAAAAAATAAGTTGCTGGTTATCTGTAACTGTATTGGGGAAAAGGAACTGGTAAATAAACTGGCAAGGTATCACACAGTCTTTTGACATTCAGATCCCACTCTGACAGGAATCTCTCACATAGGCAGCCACACTGGCTTAGCTCTTTGTAATATTGGTTCTCTTTCTTTACTTTAGAATCTCACAGACCCTTCTCATAGCTCCTTCACATTTAAACTCTTAAAACCATATATACTGAACTCTGAACTCTTTAAGTTTCCACACAGACTCTGTCAGCTCACTCACTGACTCACTAACTGAATAACTCCAACTGATTTCTCTAACTGACTTCTCTATAACTTCGATTCACTCAAAACCCTCCCCAGATTCATTGACGGTTCCGAGGGATACCATGGAACCAAGAGTGGCAAACTACCTAGGCTTGCCTCCCAATGCATACTTGCTGATTAATTCTGAGTTCCCCATTCGGCTTCAATTTTTTAAATTGTTCTCGAGGTGGTACATGACACCGTGTAAATTACAGAAGATAAACATGAACAGTGATCCACGCTGTTGGAAAGGTTGCAGGGAGGTTGGTACCTTTATTCACTGCTGGTGGGCATGTCCACGGATGAGTAATTTTTGGGAGGACGTTCGGAAGGAGATCGCTGACATAACTTCGATAGATCTAAGTCTTAAGCCTGAAGTGTTTCTGCTGAACTACTGGGACAATGATATGGATGCTAGGAACAGAGAAATTATCTCGATGCTTCTGGCTGCAGCGCGTTTGACATTAGCGTCATGTTGGAGGTCTCCTCATCCTCCAACAATAGCAGCCTGGCATGAAAAAATATGGGATCAATTTGTGATGGCTAAGATAGCAGATAAAGTACATAGAGCTCAAATTTTACAGTCCTCTAACCTCAAATTTGAATCAACCTGGTTCCCGATATTTTCATTTCTTACCTCACGGGGCATATTGCCAATAAATACCTGTTACCAAAAATGGGTTCTGATGTAACGTACTAAGAGTCGAAATTTAAAGGATGCTTTCGTTATTTGTTATTATTATCTCTGGGGCTTTAAGTTCAAAAATACCTGAATGATACTGTAACTCTTTTGTAGGAATGTTGAGTGTTTATTATTGGATTCTTTGCATGTTCTTGTTTGCTTTGTTATGAAAAATGAATAAAGAGAAATTAAAAAAACCTCCTCCCACTCTCAGTCATCCTCCAATCACAGCACACTTGTCTCCCTCTATCACTCTCCTTCCAGCACTGCACTCAAACCAAACATTTAAAGGAACACACACACTGTAAAACAGTGCCATTCTTAAATTAAAAATCTGTGACTATAATGTAGAAATAAAATAAAACAGCCATAAAACTCATGTATAAAGAAAATGATCTTGAATGGTGAACTGGATATTACTTATTGCTGGCAATTTTGTAATATTTAGGTTTGTTTAATTTATCTTTGTATAATTTAATGGCTTTATCTTTGTACAATTGTTTATGTTATTCTTGTAAGCCGCCCTGAGCCTGCCTCGGTGGGAAGGGCGAGCTAAAAACCAACCAAACAATTAAATAAATAAAATAGTTTTTGCCATGTAGGTCTGCAACCTTTTATAATTAAAGAGGCAAACTACATCAAAAATCAGCAGGGGATCAACAAAGAGTCAATATAAGAAAGCCTATTTTCATAAATGTACAACTTAACAGTACTGATAATTAATGTGTTGATTAATATTCCACAAGCTTTCAGCAGCCCAAACACTGGCTGTTGTGAGTACTTTATTAGGAAGTGCAACAAACAAAATATCATAAAAAGTAAAAAAAATAGTGTGATTTTTTAGTATACTGGCATAAATCTCTGTATGACTACCACTTGGATTATTGACAAGTGTTCATGTCAATAATTTCCTTTCCTGTAAAACATCTCTAAGAAGCCCATTTGTCCCATTAAAACCTTTTTCTGCCAGTCTCTTTGGTTACTGCATTCTAGTATTGTATCAACCTTACTATATACCTTAACTGAAAGACTTCATTTTCTTTTCTAATGTGCCATGTTTGGTTCCATACCGCTATTTGAATATCGGGTCATAGGTTGCAGATCCATGATGTAGAGGAGTTGTTTTTTAAATAGAAGCCATCTTGTATCCATTTTTGCTGATGTAGGATATAAATACTTGGAGATCTGATTTTAATATTTTGTGTGGGGCAGGCTTTTCTGTTTGAAAGTTAATTTTCAACTGTGGTTCTAAGTACCATACACCCATGAGATAATCTTTTTGTAATTGCTTGATTTTAAATTGTTTTTAATACATCTGGGAACATCTAATTAGGATCAAAAGGGGATGTCTGATTAGTTTCATGGATTGATGAACTGAATAACAAAACCTTTCAATAAGTAAAATTTCTTTTTACTAGGAGCAATGCTCGTTGTATAGAAGGAATACAATGGGACCTAGGAACACAGGCCCCTCTCCATTCTCCCGCTTTCCCCCCCCTCCCCAGACCCCGGAGGTCGAGGGGTGATGAAAGGGCCCAGCACTGGCTTCATGCCCGGCGACCTCTGGGCCGCCTCCACCACCCAGCCATGCGCTGGCCCCCGTCTGTGTGTAGGCCAGGTGGGTAGCTGCAGTCAGGCTTGGCCACGTCCGATGACCTCCAGGCCGCCTCCACTGCCCTCTGCCCCAGCCGTGTGGCGGCCCCCGTCCGTTCGCAGGCCAGGCGGGTACCTGCAGTCGGGCTTGGCTGATGATGTCTGCTGTGGAGCCAGGCACTGGCTGTGAGCAGACTGAGGCCGAGATGCTGGGCGGCGCTCCAGTGGGTGGGAGGACGGCAACGCAGGCAGCCACGCAGCCAGTGGGTAGAGATGCCATTTGAGCGACACACCAGCGGGCCAACTGATTCGGGAGCATGTTCAAGAGTCCATGACCAAAACAGCTTTATATATAAGGAGAGATATTGTGTAAATAAAATGAGTTGTTTGCATTGATTAAAGTGAAACCTGCTTCTTAATGTATTTGATCTGATCTTCCACATCTTTACTCCAGCAATTTTCCCACCCTTATATATTTGTTTTTAAAATATGCAGGAGCTCGTTGATTGGGATTCAGATACAGTTGAAACAAGCACAAAAGTAAGTAGTGCATTTCTTCCTTGGGGCTGAAGAATGTATTGATGGCTACAGTTAACTATGGTAATAAACAAGGCTCTTTATTTTACAGGATGGATAAAATAGATGTTCTTTTTAAAAAGATCAGTCATTTTTTGCTTTATATCAGATTTGTATATGCTTATATAGAAACTATTTTTAATACCTCAACTTTGTACCAATAAGTATGTATACCATTCTCAGGAACACTTGGCCTTGGATCCAATGGAGCATCTGTGGAGTACAATATTCTCCCTTCCCTCTCCTGCTGCAGACTGAAATGCTGCTCCTGAGAAATGAGTTACAAACAGACCATTGCGCATAAAACAATAAATATGAATGGGTATTAAATTTTTATATCCCCATGAAAAAGAAACAACTTTAAAGCAAAGCTTACAGTTGTAGAAGTGATAATTTGATCTGATGGAGTGTTTCCACTGCCTGCCGAGTGTGATTTTTTTTGCTTCCCCCTTCCTGC